CAAACTAGGAGTTCTATTATATCCAGACACAGTAATGAGGGCATGCAGTACATTATAGGTAAATAATATGCATGATAAATTGAAATTTGCCTTAGTTATTGACCTACCTCTAATTTACATTCACATGTGAATATAAAATGAAATTTTTATAGTAATTTCTTAAATGTACCAAGTCTAGCCTTTTCCTTCTTTTGCTACCTGAGTAATTTAATCACTTCTCATTTCTTACTTTGACACATACCTTTTTCCAACACAAATCCTTTAAGTATTTGAGAACACAGGCATTAGAGTAAATGAAACACTTGCACATTGTATGAGACACACAGATGTGCAAAGGCTATACACATCATTCCTTTAATTGGAAAGAAAATGCCAAATAACATCCATGTTTCTAAGCCCCCCATATACCACAGGATCTGGGGTTATACAGTCATGTTGTTCAGCAGTTGGTTGCCCCCAGAAGTGTAATTGCAAAAACATTTTCAGTACAAATTATTACATTCATTTCCTGGCAATAAACTGGTCTGTGAAAATACGACGTCAGGCAGCATGTACATGAACAGAAACATTAAGATCAAGGAAGTTAGCTCTGGGGGCCTGTGGCTTCAGATTTCTTATTTTTAAGGCATTTGGATTTTTTTTTTTTAAAAAGCTTTGTAAGGAGAAAGGAAAAGAAATTCTTCAAAGACAAAATGATTTATGAACCTGAACATTAAAGATCCTACCACCAGGGTAACAAAGTGACTGCCTAAGTTAAATGAGTTCCCACTTGCAGGCTAAGTCTATTCATAGTCCATCAATACGAAAGCCCTGCTAGTATAAACTTGTGTTCTGTTTGGTAATGGCTCCTGAAATTCCTTGGTCCAGTCTATCTTTTCATAGGATGGAGACTTGACTACACAAATAAATCCAAAATTGCCCCATTGCTTCCTAATGTAGTAATTTTTCCTCAGTACTGTCAAAAGTAAAACTCCCTCCCCCTGAAAAACATCTGCTTTTTGGGGGGGGGGTGCCGGGAGGTTCTTTTAGTTTATGAGATTTATTTGTATCAATAAATCCATTGGGCAGAATTTTAATTTTACAGTTTCAAACCTTGCACCTTTTGGGGTAGATAAGAAAGATAGTGCGGCATAGTGGATTAAGGGGTGGCTTGGAAGTCAGGAAGGCTTGGGTTCTAGTTCTGTCTCTGACACATATTGACTATGTGACCCTGGGCCATCACTTAACTTCCCAGTACTCTAGACAACTCTTAAGATTATAAATTGCAGAGAAGGTGTCAACTTGCATTAAAGAAGGAGGTTCCTCACCTAGGGGTTCTCTATACCAAAAAAAATCACAGATGTAGTCCATACTTTCTGTGTAAAAAAGATGTATGAGATTAGCATGGGGAGACTAAATCAGCACTTACATTTTTATAACTTAATCAATCTTTAGCCTACTACTTTTAATGGTAAAACATACTGATTTCACAAGTTACTCCCAAATTCATGCTATCTACTCAAGGCTTCTACCAGTAATTCATGGAAAATAAAGTATCTGTCAGATGTTTAGTAGCCCATGCAATTTCTACTTTCTGGGCACTGGAGCGAAATGTGTAATAAAGTAGTTATCAGCAGTCCTTTCAATGTCCATCTGAGCCACCCACTGGAGTTCTTCAGAAGGGAAGAATGGAACCTTTCACATCTACTTCATTTTCTCAAACTAAGGCCAAGTCAGGAATAATTGAAATTGGTTGTCATTTCATCCTTTCTCTAATAAGCATGAAGGATGAAGGATCTAACAATCCCTAAAGAAAACATGCTTCTCTATATGAGCTCTTTCCCTAATAACTTGAGCACAAAATTTCTGTGTGCCTGGAAATGGGGCAAAAGTTTAAGGGATGAAAATTTCTTGCCCGATTTTATTCACTATTAATTCTCATGGATTAGGCTTTTTTTTTTTGAGTTTAGGTTAAAAGCTTGTTTTGTTCATGTGATCTATTTCTAAGGGGTAACCAGTACTTTTTTCACACTGCTCCTTATTTCAATTGTACACAGAGGAAAGAAGTAGCACAGGCCTCAGTTATGCACAAAGTATATCAGTCATGCTTTTATTGGCTCCTTAGAGAATTTTGAAAAGTGGAAACTTTCTAAAAAAAAAATGGAGTTCTATCAGAAAGCTAAATTCAAAAAGGCAATTTGAGATCCAAAAAAGAAATAAACATCTTGAAAAATATTTTCACTTTCAATCATAGCCAAGATTTATTAACACAATGAATTAGTTAGGTCAATGGATTTTACAGTGTCATAAAAAGGGAAAAGTGTGAGTTGGAGGGTTGCTCATTATTTTCCAAAGTTACCACTTAGGGAGTTGTGAATGCAATCCATCTCCTGTCCTTTTGTCTCACTTAGTACATCAGTTGAATCCTCAAACCTTAGGTGACTGGGTTCCAGAAAACAGTGTACTATTTATTTCTAGGTCAAGCAGTATTTTACATATTTTAAAGATATATTTTTGTTCCTCTTTTGCTTTTACATCATTTCCCACTACCTTCCTCTCTGACAGCCATCCTTTATAACAAAAATTTGTTAAAAAGGGTAAAAAATGAGTTCAGTAAAACTAACCAATACATCAACAGAGTTTGACAGTATGACACTAAACTTCAACATATTCATCATATTCATGTGTATGTACCAAGAAACCACTACCCCCATCCCTTCAACCATTACCTCTTTTCAGACCTTATTGGAGACAATCCAGCACTGTAAACCCAAGTACCTTGGGAATAGCACTGCTTCTGCAGACCAATGGCCTGGACATCACCATCCAGGAAATCAATCCATAGAAATGCAAAATGCTGCCATCAAGATCACTGGCATCATCAAATGGTTCAACATTAGAGTTGGATGTCATTGTATCGGAGGAAAAAACATTGAAGACTGCAATTCATCCCACAGGCAGTTGAAACCTTCTGTTTTCTCCTGCTATGACAATGTGAGGAACTATATGGGTTTTCTCTTTGTAACCCCAGCATGGACACAGCACAGAACTTCAAAGCCATTCTCCAGTTGATAGGTATCTTTATTTTAAATTCTTTGTGATCAGTCCTGCTATACATGTTGTTTCATAGAACACCTGCCTCTCCTATTATTGATTTCGGGGTATGCCTAGCAGTGACCCTTTAAGCTCCTCTTCACATAACTTCAAATTTCTTTCCAGAAATGAAAACCAATGTACTCTTGTTTTCCTTACTCTAGGCACAGGTTCCCAAAGTGGGTGATACTGCCCCTTGGGGGGAGGGGTTTGCTGGAATGATCCAGGGGGGTGGTAGTAGCCTTGGGTGCAACTGGGGGGATATTGAATAAAAATAAGAGGGTGGTGGAAGCATAAGGAAAGATAAAAAAATTTTGAAAAACCATTCATACATATTTCATCTGCTGTGTAACAGTTAAAATTGTAGTGATTACATTCTTTTCCAAATAAACACACAAAACATAAGTTATAAGTGCTCAGTGGTCAAGTTCACCAACAGGTCTTAAGAAGCAGGTGTTGGCAGGCGAGTCGTGCATTGTCAGGAAGTCCAGCATGCAATGGCAGAATATGTGTATGTAGTGACTTGTTTACAATACGATACTATACTTACAATACTGTGTCATCAAAATTTCAATGAAGGAAAAACCTCACAAATTTAAAATTAAATTTAAGATGCATCATTTAAAAAAATTATATTTTAGAAATGACACAAATTTAAAAAAAAGTTAAAGGGTTAAAGAAAGTAGATTTTGGGCAGGGGTGCTGAGTAATTTTTTTTTGAAAAGAGGGTGGTAGGGTAAATAAGTTTGGGAACCTCTGCTCTACAGCCTGAGGTTACTTCATCTCTAAAGAGGCTGAGGAATAGTTCTCTCTAGTGCCTCTGGTATCAAGCTCATTAAAATGAATATAAACCACAGAAATATTTCCTCCTCACATATTACTCAGCATTAGAAATTTCTTTTGGGTGTGCACAAACATTTAGGGTCTCAGAACTCTGAATCAAGATCCTACGTCTAGCAAAAGATATACTATTAGAGAGAGGCCTAATCCCTAAGCATCAGGTCAGTACTAGACAATGGTATCACACTCTTCTCCCCTGAAGTTTATTTCAAGCACCATTGCACTTCCCCCCATACTGATACACTTCAAAGACTGGCAATTTCATTAACGTGGGCTTGCCACCAACCAATGCAACTTATCCACCCATTAGCAGACAATCCTAGAGTATCCGTGGCCAAAAAAAAAAAAGCTGTCTGGTAGCCAACTTTCTGGTGATGAGACACTTTAAAACTTAACTACAGCTACACTGGTCCTTGGACAACAGAGCTCATCTCTGGTATTGTACTCAGAGCCTTTCTAATTAATTAGGACCTGCTAGATATGACCTCTACTGGCATAACCTTCAAGGATCTAGGTTTGCTTTCATGCCAGATGAGGTAACAAAGTAGGACTTTTTTGGAAGCTATATTTACATAACTGAAAAACCACTGTTAGCACTGACATAAAGTATGGCTCCAACTAGGGCTTAAAGCCAGGGAAATTCTAATTCTAAACTCTTCATGTTGAAGGGCATTTACCTAATGTCTTAGTAACTTCAATTTCTTCTGTCTAAATAACTTGGTATTTCAGGTGAATTGGAAACTTGAAACTTAGGATGATAAGCTTCCTTAAGTGAAAGAGAGGATTAATACACATAATATTGCCTATCAACCTATCAAAGAAGGGGCTATCAAATATTATAAGATCTCTCTCCTTGTCCACCCTAATGAAAGCAACCAAATCACTAAGATGCTCTTTTATTGCCAGCATTTTTGGACGACGGAAAGCTTTGATACGCTGACTTATGGGAAAGAACTCTGAAAAGTATAAAGTGCTAAATAAACATTTAGAACTATTTTTTAAAAAAATGAAAATAGGAAACTCAGGACTCATAGAATACCTTAACAATCAGGAAGATATACAACATTATCAAATGAGATTTACCAAACTATCAAGCAAACATAACAGAGACAATTTATTTAAGAAAAGTTTTACTAACGCATTAATATTTGGGCAAAGTTATTGCAATGGGTGTGAAAGGCAGACAGACATACGATTACACGCCATAGAAAAACAAAAAGGGTTTTATACAATTAAAATATTAAACAAGCCTCTGGGGTTTAGATGAATGACTAACAAATCCATAACAGAAATTAAATCTGGAAGATTAGATCCAGTATTAGCACCTACAATCACTGGGAGTAGAACTTTAATTCTTTTCTAGTAAATCCCTTAGCTCTTTCCAAAGAACAATGCTCTCAAGCCATAACGATTAACTTAATTTCAAGGTCTTGGAAAATACTGTCATGAAGAATGTAGGTAGAAGAGAAACAAATATTAAATTAGATTTTTAGGAATTTTACTCAGGAAACATTCATATTATTTTACCTGAACTAATTACAAGATTTATGTGCATCCTGAATACTGAATTCAAGAAACATTTATGATTCATAAGTTTTGCCAGTGGAAATAGTTTAAAAAAAATGAGCACATACAGTATTATTCCTACCAAATTATTTCCCCCATAAGTTATATTTATAATAAAGCCATAAGGAAAATGTTCATTACACTTGCTTATTACACATTAAGGGACAGAGCAAGGATGTCTATAGGTCTGATGGTTTAGCATCCACTTTATTGTGCTTACATAGTTTTAATAAAACAAGCAACACATACTACATCCTCCCAACGTTCATGGCAATGCAGTAATGATAAAATTCTCCAAGGAGAATCAAGGTAACTGGAAATCACATGAAATACTGGTTCACTTAGTAAATAAGTGCTACATTGAAAACAAATAGCATTATATATTATCTTTCCAATGAGCTTCAGTATGAGAAACTAATAGTAGAAACATCTTCTGGAAATCCTTTGAGTTCCTTGAGGTCTAGGAGATGTGTCAGCAGGCCACAGGCATAGCTTACCCCTCATCAAAAACCATACCCGGAAGAAAAAAACATTCAATTCAGGGAAAATGAAACCAAACCTGGATATGACTTGCTGAAATAAAAAAAAAAACCACCTGTAGAGAGGACACCATAAATACTGAGCAGAACCAACAGTCCTGGTGGCAGATAAATGGATTTTGGATTGGGCTGATTTACACAGCTCATTTTATTAAATTGTTTTGAATTAAAAAAGCGAAATGCTTCATTATATTTTCTCAGAAATAACTACAAAGATTACAGAGTCCTACACAGTTTAAAGACACAAAGTGGATGCTAAGTGACTAGATGTCACCCCAGGAGCGGAATTTTAGAAAGTTAGTCCTTGGAGTAGAATGGCACCGTGGCTCTGGCAGCAGATACAAAGGAATGATGCTTGGAGAGGAGGTAGGGGACACTCTGCAGTTGGCCGGTGGACAGAAGAGTCCCATTCTGAGATGGACTCTAAAAAAGGAACCAACATGAGGTCTTAGAAAGCTATAAAGAAATACTAAAGTGTACTTTTATTTATCTCTCCTGAATCAACTGACATGCACACATAAGAGAGTGGTTTTATTTTGTTAAGAGAGTTCTACCTGGTGGGTTTTCTGGATTTGCAAGAGCTTATATTTCATCTAGCTCAATGACCTAGAAAGCAAATATCGTGAACTCAAAATTTTAAAAAGTCATTATTTTATTGTGACATTGAGCAAATCATTTCTTTTTCACATGAGAAGCCTGACAGAGATAACATCAGGTACCTCACAGGGCTGTGAGGGATAGAGAGAGCATTGGCACATTTGCAAAATGCTTTCTACTTTTCCAGTACTTTACAAAAGATTAACAAAAAAGTGACAAAATGCTACTTTTTACTGAAAGTTCTTTTCATGAAGGTCATCTTCCTTTTGTATATTCCTTCATTAAAATATACACTTAATCCCCAAACACTAACTTTAATCTCCAGCCAACTTGCAGATTTGAGGTGTGGAGCTTGGGGTGGTGTGTGTGTGTGTGGCGGGGATTGGTGAAGCATTAAGTGCACTTTCACATGCCCTCACACACATTCATACAGCTGTTTGACAAGCTCCCAGCCCTTTCTGGGTTTTGCTCCTGATGAACACACAGCTCTAAAAACACAATTGTGCTGAACAAAAACATTTGCAATTCATGAAACTATCCAGAAGTTCCTAATGTAAATCTTTCCCATTTCAAAAATTTCACAGTTGTTTGAACATTGATAGATTAGCCTCTTGTGTATAATTGCTCAAAACCCCACACTACCTCAGAAAAACATTGTTTAGCAATAATAGCTGCAAAATGAGTCATGACAAATGAATTGTGCCAAGTCAACGCAGCTGCAATTGATAAAACAAATTTATTCGAATGGCATGTAACAAAAGCCACACAAGGTTTCTGATTGCTCATTTTTAGAAATCAGTTAGGAAACTGCAAATCAGAAACTGTATGGACAAGTAACACTACATATTCCAAAGTACTCTGCTATCTGAGGCTTTTTATAACAACTAAACATATGGCACAGGCATCATTATTTGGGTTTTAAGGAAAATTCAGGTAACACTTCCCAGTGCCAGAGTAGACAGCATTTAAGAATAGCGAGGCTAACTTTGTCAGGAGTTTCAAATAAACTGGACAGAAGCCACTAACAGCTTTGTTCCTCAAAAGTGCTGACAAGATCCTGAAGCAAAGGAAGGAAAAAGTTCTCATTTTTACTCCATGAAAGTTTCTGCTTTCTATGTGGTTCCTCCCACATCTGGGAGAAGTTGTCTATCTTTGCCACATTCTGCCACTGTGCAGGGAATAGTCTGTGACAGAAACCAGTTGAGGAAGTCATCAAGAGTAGATCTACAGGAGAAATGAGACTTTAGCCTCCTGAAAGATCTCACATAACTTTGAGAAACTGGCAGAAGTGAAGGAATACCAGCATCTCCTGCTCCGAAGGTAGTACTGTTGCACTGTGGCCAGCTGGAGCAGTCTCAGTGTTTCAGAGAACTCAGAAAAAGAACACCAGGAAAACCACAACACAACTGGGTCTATGGATCTTTTTGTAGCATTAACCCATTTATTTAATGATATTCGTGGAGGGCAAACAGTGATATGTCAGCGGCAGATTAGGTCAGGGACTGGCCCTGTGACTTCACTTAAGAGAACTCTTTCCGAAGATAGGTTAGGACCTTTCACTGCAGTGATTTGAGAGCTGCCGCAGGCACAGGGAGGTTTGGTGCCTTGCTCAGGGTCACAGCCAACACAGCCTGTGGCAGAATCAGGATATGAACCCAGGTCTTCCTGATTAGAATCAGTTCTTGTATCCACTCTGCCCCCCTTCTCTAGGTCAATGTATCGCTACCCAACCAGGTCAAGTGATTTCTCTAAATCTATTTATAAACAGCAGATAAATAACAAAGCGTATGTTCCCCCCAACATACACATATCCCAAAGCCCTTAGGATTGTTTTTTCTTTATATCCCAAAAGCCCTGCATATAGTAAGTCCTTAATAAACGTTTGCTGAATTGAAGTGAAGTGCTGGTACTCACATTTCTATGTGAACTGATTGATGGCAGGGCCTGAGCAGTCATGTGAGGAGGCTAGTCTAATATATAAAAATAATCTGACACAATATAGACAAAATTAGATTTAGATTTCTATCTAACCAAATTAAATGTTGATTAAGCCAGCTTTTACATATTATACCAATATAACTAATCATTTAAAGAAAACACCATTCAACTATATGCATCAACTATCCACCACCTCCCATACAAGGTTTAAAAAAGTTTTGTCTCCATGCAGTGGAAATGCCTCTTGAGTAGTGAAGGAAAATCCTACATATTCTGACTGTACAGAAAATACCTAAAAATGGAACTCCAGGTTGTTACTTACCTTGGACTCCATGGTTTATCTTCCACTGCTCATGCCTCTGTCTTCATAAATGGTAATTTCAATCTATATAGGGTAGCTGTTAAGAAAACATACCATTGGAGACTAAATGATAAAAGATGAGTTGAATTTGCTAACCTGTGTCATCACTATTGTTGATTTAAAAAAAAATGCACTAGAACTCTACACTCTGCTATGATATTTTGCTATGATATTTTTGTCTTCATAAAATTTACTTATTAAATATTCTTTGAGATAATTTCTACTTAACTTAAAAAATATTCACTTACTGATTACTTTTGAGAATTGGACTTATTCCTCTAAATTTTATTTCCTATAAAGTATCAAAACATCATGATTAAAAATAAAAGACTACCACTCCAGTGGTTTCACATGTGTTATTTTATCAGAAGGGATTTTGGCTCATTTCTTCTCAATAATTTTATTTTTATGTGGTATTTCCTCAGTATCATAGTTTTATAGTTATGTAGAAAACAGCAATAAATACAAGACTATGGGTCTTTTTCTAAACTCTAGAGTATAGTGAAATGTCTGCAATGGTTAACAAAAAAGGGTTGGAATTTTTTTTCCCAAAGGCAGTGGGAGAATAATGGATAGAAGCAGCTAGATGGCACAATGGACAAAGTGCTGGATTTACTTTGAGTCAAGAAGGTCTGAATTCAAATGTAACCTCAGACACCAGCTGTGAGTCTGGGTAAGTCACTTAACCTTTGTCTGCCTCAAGTTTCCTCATCTGTAAAATGTACCTATTAATGTCATCTGCCTCCCAGAGTTGAGGATGAAATGAGATAATATCTGTAATGTGATTTGCAAACCTTAATGTGCTATATAAATGCTAGGTAGTAGCAGGGATTCAAGTCCTACCTTTGACACATACTGGCTACGTAACCTTGGAAAGTTCATTAACCTTTCAATGTCCCAAGAAACTATAAAACTATCAATTGAGTATAGCTGCTAACCTGTATTGGCAGGACTGGGATTATGTAATCTAAAATTCCATTTATTTATTAATTCATTAATTTAATTACCAAGTTACCTTATTTACTTATAATTTTATTTACCAAATTCACCTACTGCTTTTCAAAGCTTATAGCTTCTGAAAATGTGCACAATATGTCAAGGGTAATGAAATCAAACATCTAGCAGCTGTAACCGATTTAGGCAAATAGTCAGATGAACCTATGGAACTGTAATTCATTTGGATGACAAGTTCCACCACACACTGAGTTTATCCATTTCAAAAGGGCTTTTGGTTCAGTTCTCTGCAGCTGAAAAGCATTACTCATATCAAAACTATTATTACTACAAGATGCCCTCAGAACCACCAAGAAAGATGGTATCCAGAATACTAAAAAGTTTGCAAAACACATGACACCAAAGAAAATAGTTTGTAGAAAAAATGCAAGTAACATACACAAAAATTTTCTAGGGCAGGTAGTAAAATCAATATTAAATTGTCTCTAGCCTATGCCAACATGGTCACTTTCGTTTTCTTATCTTTAACAAAAAAGATACAACACGAAGTCCTCTCTCAATTGGGTCTGTCAGAAGGAGGCCCTGTGGAGCATAAATCTTCTCATTCTGTTCCTGAATATATTTGGTGATTTTCTTCAGAACCTGTCAGAAAGAAATACCCAATCTTTTAGATTTTAGTGGAAGTCTTTTTAAGTATCAGCCGGCTATATAAACCTAGTTTTAAAGCATGGAATACTGAAGTTTCTATGACTTGCCAAAGTTTTGATATTTGCCTTTCACACAGTTAATAAACATTTATTAAGCACCTACTATGTGCTAGGCATTCTTGCAAAGCACTGCAGATGCAAAGAAAAGAAAAACAGTTTCTGTTGAAGAAATCGCAGTCTAACAGGGGAGATGAGATGTAAACATCTAAGTACAAACAAGCTATTGGAGATTATCAATAAAAAGAAGGCACTGAAGGAACTGAACTTCCAGAATGAATAATATGTACTTGTTTCTTCTACTTCCTCATGGCCCACTCACTATAAAAATTCTTGTAATCTGGATTTCCTTCTCATTGCTTCACTGGAACAGCATCCTGAGGTCACTTGTGATCAATAAATCCAATTCCCAGTCCTCACACAGTATCTGACAGAACCCTTTTGCAGTATTTGACAATTACAGAATCTCATAGTTGGAAGGAACCCTAATGGCAGTCTGGATCAGCCAATACTTCACTAATAATCCCTTATACGACACTAACAAATATTGGTCATTCAATCACCACCTGAAAATGTCCAGTGGGGGGAAACCAATCTCTCCAATTCCACTCCTAGACAGCCCTGATGGTTAGAAGCTCTTCCTTACATTGAATCAAAACTTGACTCTCTACAACTTCTAACTATTGCTCCTTGTTTTGTCTCCTGGGGCCAAGCAGGAAAAAAAAAATCTCTTTCATGTTCAAATGCTGTATGACAACTATCCTGTATCCCCTGAAGTCTTTTATTCTTCAGGCTAAAAATCTCCATCTCTTTCTATGGCATGACCTTAAGTCTCTTCACTCTCTTTCTCAGTCAATCTTTTCTGGCATGGATGTAAGCGGAGTCAAGACAGATTATGAAGGACATGCCTAGAAGTGAACACAATATTCAAGATGTGGCATCATCAGGTGATAGTACTGTGGGGATATATATTGTTTCCTTTGTTCTTAACATAATGCTTTTAACACAGATTAAAATAGCACTGATCTTTGTTTTTTTGGCTACATCCTGATACCGATTCATTTTGAGTTGGAAGTCCAATAAATTCCCCATACATTCTAGACTCCATGAGGGCAGAAATGTGCCATTTTTCACCTTTGGATTCCTACTGCCTAGCACTGTGCATTACATATAGGAGGTGCTTAATACACAGTGAAATTGACTACACACAGTGAAAGTTTTTCTATTTTTCCTTAAGGAATATCGCTGATTTTCAATGAAGTTTTATTAATACAATGTCTTCCATTATTAAAGGCAATTCTTTAGTCTCTCCTTTAACCTAATTTTAGCTATTTTCTTTTCCCTTTTGACTAGGTAGCATACATAGGACAATTATTCTAGGTAATGATTGTGACAAAGGTAAAACAGTTATTTCAGAACCAGCAAGGTTATTTTCTTTGTAATACACATGACCTTTAATTTCCCTTGAGTTTCCCAGTAAGTAAATTCCTGATACTATGATCACTTTCAACAGCATTAAGTGTGACTAGACAAGTGAGCTGCTAGATTAATACTGAAGCTTATACAACTCAAGGAAAATGGAGGCAAATCTAGATGGAAGGTAAATTCTACTAACTGTTAATTCTTCTGATTCAATAAGGAGATTCTGGGATAGAAAGAAATTTAAAGCTAGTAGAATATGAAGGGAATTGGGTGATTCTGGTTCTCAATGGCTATGCTGATGGTGTGAAATAATTACTCTGGCAATTCCTAACAAGATGGAAAATCTTTAAATATGGATCCACCAAAGGCTTTTGTGTCTGAGGACCAGCCTAGGTGAACTGACAGATTCACCAAATGGCTGGCCACCAGGTGATGCAATGTGTTAGTCCTTGTAACTTACAATGGATGAATATTAAGCCTTTGGGCAGATGTAATCTGCATAGGTGGAAGTACCCAAACCAATGAAATCACAAGTATCTGAATTATCAACTAGAAATGAAAAAGTCATAGAGTTTACTTCCAACTATAGACAGTTTTTGTAATCCCTCTTCTGGCCTAATTTTCAAAATAACTTTGATAAAGCTCTAAAATGAGGCTCCAATTTCTACATATTTCTTCAAATTAACACTACTGTTTGGCGATTAAAATCTCTGGAAAAAAGGGAGAAAAAAACTTGTGAAAATAATGCTGGAAATTAACTTTTTGAATTTAGGTTAGTAACATACTGGGCCAAACAAACTAGTATACTGAAGATGACAATCCAGATTTGTGATTATAAACTGATTTACATTTCAATATTCTACACTTACTAACTAGTATGTTTTTTTAAAGATGATGATAAGCATTTAAATGGTAAATTCTTGAAAGAATAGCTAGCTTATAAAAATCTACTGTAGTAAGCCAATAAATTTGTGGCATTATCCTTAGAGAAAGGCAGTTTTCATTTCATTTCTTAGAACAACAAATTTACCTTCAGTAACACTGAACATTTTCCTACTTTCAATTTCAAGGGAAGTTTAAGTTCAATTAATCTTTAAGAAGCAAAAAGTCTTACCTCCTATCTCTGTATCACAACCTGTCAATCACACTCAAATAATGAATGGAAGGAAGTAAGCCATAAAGATGGCTAGCTCAAGTCTCTCAAACTCTCCAATTTCCTTCTCGGTTCAGCCGCCAGAAATGGAAATTGGAGATTTAGTATCCCCTCACCCCAATCCATTAGAACTCAAGGATACTCTCTCAGAAAATGTTTGCATGACTGATTTCAAAGAAAGGATGCCTTCAGAAAAGCTTCCCTCCTCTTTTCTTGGGTAGAGATTACTTCCAGGGAAATAGCACTCCATTTTGTTCTATTAAATTCAACTTTTGTTGGGAAAGGTTTTAATTTAAGCTTTAATACCAAAAATGTGCACTTGGACACCAGCTCAGAAAGAAGACAATTGTGTGTGTGAGAATTCAGATCTTGTTAAGTATTTTGTAGAAGCCATCACTATTCCAAACAAGGTGTTAAAAAAAAAACCAAACAAACAAACAAACACAAAAAACAAACTTTTTGGTCTCTTCAGTAACAGAACAACTTTTATATCCTAAATTCATTCAGCATCCTAGAAAGGGCACTTTCTAGGTACCATTCTTAACCCAACAACTCTTCATCTGCTGGAATTTCAGTCATTTTATTCACCATTTCTATTTTTGGCAAATCACAGCATCCAACAAAAACTATCCCCTTCCTCAAACCTTCAACTTAACCACAATTTGTACAATGTGCATAAAGATAAAGCATTCTTAACTACATCAAGCTTTATGAAAGGATAACTTCTTCCTAAAAATACTAAATTGGAGTAAGACCAACTAACCTTCAAGAGAAAAGAACATAGGTTTATCCAAATGAAGAACACTGTCTTCCCCAAATCCTTTCCCTCCCGGTATTCAGCTTTTTTTTTTTTACAGGTAACAAAAGTTCTTGCCTTTCTATGTCAGTTTTTTTGGATGCACCATAGAAGTAGATAACTTCTTTATATTTTATGAGTTGACAGCCCAGAGTACAACTTTCTACAGGCTTTTCTATTTCCTAAAAAAACAATGGAATGGCATCAGAGAAATAACAGTGAGGCTCTTATTTTTCCTTTACTTTTAAACAATAATACTGTGCAGAAAGACATTTCCAGTTAAATGTATAGGATTGATTGATAAGTGCACTAAAATTTACATTTTCAGAACTTTTACTGCATTTATCCTTGTAGCCTAGGATTTTCAGTTTTTAAAATATGCAAAACTAAAATGATTTATTTCCCTGTTATTTTCAATGAACTACATAATTCTAAAGGAAAAGTTCTATGTGGATTCTTTACTTCAATAAATGTATAATTATAAAGGCTCCTAAAAAAATTATGCAATAGAGGCGGAGCCAAGATGGCGGAGTAAAAGCAGTGACTTGCTTGAGCTCTCCTCCAAACCCCTCCAAATACTCATAAAAAATGGCTCTAAACAAATTCTGAAGCAGCAGAACCCACAAAAAGACAGAGCGAAACAAATTTCCAGCCCAAGACAACCTGGATGATTGATCAGAAAGGTGTATTGTGCGGGGCTGGGAGCGCAGTGCAGCGTGGGTGCACAGGCCAAAGCGTGGGTGCGCAGGCTGCAGCAAACCTGCAGCAGGCCTCAGAGGACTGAATCTCGGGCAGCTGTGGAGGTTTCCAGACTCCTCAATCCACCAATGCCAAAGACAAATTAGGTCAGTGGGAAAAGTCTGTTTCTGTCGGTGCCTGAGAAAGGAAGGCGGGGTTTCAGCTCCACTTCTCAAGAGTATGGCCCTGTACGGGGGCAGCTGCTTCTCGAGCTTCTGGCCCACAGACTGAGGGGGAATCCAGTGGCTGATCAGAGAGGGATTGCAGGGATCTTTTTGCCAGTGCTGAGGCAGGAATCTCTTGCTTTGCCCGTGTTTGGATCTGGGCCACAGTTCTGGGCAGCGGTGCTGGGGTGAGGAGGAGCACTGGCTTGGTGGAGCTTGTAGTGGTTGTGGAGAGGAGCCCCTCATCACAGTTACAGGACAGAAAGGAGTACTTGTAGTCCAGGCCAGGAAAGGAGTAAACACCTCCCCTTATCATACCACCTTGGAAGAACTGAAAATTTACAGGTCCCTACAAGTATCTCTGAAAACAGCTGTACAAACCCCCGAAGCTTGGGACAGTACATTCTCCACATTGGAAGCAGATTCATACCTTAACAAAGAGTTTAAAACTCAAGTAATTGGCCGGATCATGAGCAAGCAGCAAAAAGAGTCAGACTATATTATCTTACTTTGGTGAAAAAGAAGACAAAATATACAACCAGAAGAAGACAACAAAGTCAAAGCCCCTACATCCAAAGCCTCCAAGAAAAATATGAATTGGTCCCAGGCCATGGAAGAGCTCAAAAACGATTTTGAGAAGCAAGTTAGAGAAGTAGAGGAAAAACTGAGAGTGATGCTAAAGGAGACCCAAAAAAATACTGAAGAAAATAACACCTTAAAAAATAGCCTAACCCAAATGGCAAAAGAGGTCCAAAAAGCCAATGAGGAGAAAAATGCCCTAAAAAAAAATTGGCCAGATGGAAAAGGAAGTCCAAAAGCTTACTGAAGAAAATACTTCCTTAAAAATTAGAATAGAGCAATTGGAAGATAGTGACTTTATGAGAAATCACGACACAGTAGAACAAATCCAAAAGAATGAAAAATTAGAAAACAATGTGAAATATCTCATTGGAAAAACAACTGACCTGGAAAATAGATCCAGGAGAGAAAATTTAAAAATTATTGGACTATCTGAAAGCCATGATCAAAAAAAGAGCCTAGACATCATCTTTCAAGAAATTATCAAGGAAAACTGCCCTGATATAGTAGAACCAGAGGGCAAAATAGAAATTGAAAGAATCCACAGATCTCCTCCTGAAAGAGATCCCCAAAGGAAAACTCCTAGGAATATTGTAGCCAAATTCCAGAGTTCCCAGGTCAAGGAGAAAATATTACAAGCTGCCAGAAGGAAACAGTTCAAGTACTGTGGGAACACAATCAGGATAACACAAGATTTAGCAGCTTCTACATTAAAGGACCGCAGGGCATGGAATATAATATTCCGGAGGGCAAAGGAGATAGGATTACAACCAAGAATCACCTACCCAGCAAAACTGAGTATAATCCTTCAGGGGAAAAAATGGTAATTCAGTGAAATAGAGGACTTTCAAGCATTCTTGATGAAAAGACCAGAGCTGAATAGAAAATTTGACTTTCAAATACAGGACTCAAGTGGAACATGAAGAGGTAAACAGGAAAGAGAAATCATAAGAGACTTATTAAGATTGAACTGTTTACATTCCTGCATGGAAAGATGATATTTATAACTCATGAGACCTTTGTCAGTATCAGGGTAGTTGGAGGAAAAAAATTATATGTATGTATATGTAGATAGATAAGAGGGCACAGGGTGAGCTGAAGATTAAGGGGTCATATCTGGAGAATAAAATTAAGGGATGAGAGAGGATTATACTCGGAGAAGAAGAAAGGGAGAGGTAGAATGGGGTAAATTATCTCACAAAAAAACCACCAGAAAAGTCTCTTACAGTGGAAGGGGAAATGGGAAGGTGAGAGGGAATGAGTGAATCTTATTCTCACAGGATTTGGCTTAAGGAGGGAATAACATACACATTCAATTGGGTATGGAAATCTGTCTTACCCTACAGGAAAATAGGGGGGAAAGGGGACAAGAGAGCAGGGGGATGATAGAGAGGAGGGCAGATTGGGAAAGGGGTTAATCAGAAGTAAATACTTCTGAGGAGAGACAGGGTCAAAAGAAAGAATAGAATAAATGGGAGGGCAGGATAGGGTTAAGGGAAATAGAGTTAGTTTTTCACTACATGTCTATTATGGACATGTTTTGCATAACTGCACATGTACAACTTATATTGAGTTGCCTGCCTTTTCAATGAGGGTGGGTGGGGAGGGAGGACTGGGAAATAAATATAGGAAATGGTGTACAGAAGTCTATCCTGCCCTACAGGAAAATAGAAGGGGAAGGGGATAAGAGAAGGGGAGAGAGATAGAAGAGAGGACAGAGTAGGGGAAGGGATATTCAGAATGCATGACATCTTGGGGTGGAGAGAGGGGGGAGATAGGGTGAAAATTTCGAACTCAAAAACTTGTGGAAGGGAATGTTGAAAACTAAAAATAAATAAATTTGTATTAAAAAGAAAAAAAATTATGCAATAATAAAATTGTAGATTGGTCCTGTTTCTTTTTGTTTAGTTACCCACATCTTTTTTTCTACATGTAGCTGTGTCTTGGTTTGACTTACGGATCAAATTTACTTGGTATGCCAAATAACATAGAAGAACAGATCCTAAGCACTACCAGTATAAGTCTAAGTAGAAAAATATTTATGGTATCAAAATTTCCTTTGTGTTTGACATTGCGAACTACTTCTAAAGTTTCAAATTAAAATCTATAATGCTTTTTTTTTTAAAGTGCTTCAACACTGCATCAATATTTCAACTAAAAGATTATTTTTAAAATATAAATCTTAAAGAGGTTCAAATCTAGTAACATAAATTGCAAAGCAGCAGAAAATTTTAATTTTTATAAAAGCAGATTAAAATCTACCAGCATAGGGCAGCTAGATGGCGCAGTGGATAGAGCACAGGCCCTGAATTCAAATCCAGCCTCGGACCAAACACTTGACACTTACTAGCTGTGTGACCCTGGGCAAGTCACTTTACCCCAATGCTTAGCATTAAATAAAAAAAAGAAAAAAGAATGAAAGGCAATGACTTTTCTGCTAGTAAATAAAACTGCAAGTTCTTAGATAGAAAATCTTCTCCAGCTAATTTTTATAGATGAGGAAACTGAGGCAAACAAGGTTAAATGACTTGCCCAGGGTCACACAGCTATTAAGTGTATGAGGCCAAATTTGAATTCAGGAAGAGGAGTCTTCCTGACCCCAGATCTGGCACTCTATCCACTGCGCCACCTAGGTGCCCCAATAATACAATGTATGTAACTGTTTTATGGGCCTCCATGAGATAGGTACCTATTATAATGGCTGTACAGCCACATCTCTTTTTAAAAGTTGTTTGAAATCAGTAATATATTAGCTTCGATTAACTCAAAATTAGAGATAAGTAGGCTCCTTAATAGCTAAAAGAATTTTAGGAAAGCTGAACTAGGTTGTAAGCAAATACTACTGAGCTAAACTCTAGGGCTGTGTAAATGGTGGTACCTTCATTCGGAGTAACTATTTTGGTCTGTTTCTGAAAGGCAAACAGTACTCACTCTCATAAATGCTTTGAACATTAGGAGCAAAAATCAGATACTATTATGCTGTAAGTGCCCCTAGAAAGTTGTTTAAAAGCAAAAAAAATTTTTTTCAAAAACCGCAAGGATCCATAATTATCTGGTGTGATTATTCCTTCCACTGACAGTAGACTGCCAATCTAATAGCTGGGCAGATGGTCTTCATGAATTGTAGCGGTCAGAAGAATTTGTCACCTGGTAACCAACCTCTGCACACCTAGTAAGGCCAATCCCTAAATGACAAATCCCACTGCTGGGCACATACTTGAAAACTTTTTAACTTAAGAGAGCCTCCTAGAACATGTGCTCCACTGACACAGTCTTTAACAACCTAGGGTTACTGTTTCACTATGATGAGGCACCAGAGAGACTTTAAAAATGAAGGCAAAGGTAAAATGCTTTAGACATTCTCATACAACTTTACCTTTTCATAATGTGTTTCCATGCACAAAAAGATAGTATATGCCGTCAAACAAGCTAAACAGCCTTCAAGGTAAGATTGGCCCCCAAGCTTTTCTGCTTCTGCATAAAGGTTATTTAGAGTACGAACTGTTTCTTCAAACTGCTGCCGGTCAATCTGTAGGAAGAGCAGAAATGAAAAAGCTATGTTTTTGAGTAATATATAATCACTAATGCATAGCATCCTATTTCAGATTTTAAGAAATTAGTGTTTGCTGGCTAGTCATGGCTATTAATGGAAATTAAACAATTAGCTTCACCTCTCTCACTTGACAATAAATTTTTGTAAAAATTTAATTTGTCACCTTCTATTCTTCCCTTTACACTAATTTCTAAGTGACTTAATCTACTAATATGTTAATGAGAATGGAGATCCATGGCTTTCCTTGTCTGCCTGCAGTTATTTCTTTTAGAATATTTCAGAGTACACAGTTAATATCTCAAATTGAACATGTGGTCAACTAAACAAATTTAGTATAATTCTTCCCACTAAAACCTTCTAACTGGCTTCCTGAGTTTCTTATGATCTCCTTACCTGTCTCCCAGGCATACTATCTCAGAATTATTTTCAATCCATCACTGTTCTCCTCCTCCTAACAGCAACTTGTCACCAAATTCTACCACTCTGGTCTGTATTTCAATGACTAAAACTTTTAGTCAGGTATTTATTTCTACCTACAAATATACACGTCTTCCTTTTCTCAAATTCCTTAAAGGAATTGCTGCCCAATTTCTCTTTTCTCATCACTCCTTAACCCTTTGAAAACTGGCTTTTGACCTCATTAGTCAATGGAAGTTCCTCTTCACAAAATTACCAAAGATCTCTTTATTGCCAAATTTGTTAGTCTTTTCTCAGTTCTAATACTTCTTGACCTCTTGCATTTGACACTCTCTTCCTTAACACCTTTTCTCTCTCTGGATTTTCATGATGGTGCTTTCTCCCTACTTCAGCTCCTACTCATCTCACTGCTCCTCAGTCTCCTTTTGTTTTCTTTTTTAAATTTTTATTCATTTTGAACTTAAATACAAAAAGACAAAAAAGAATATTTTCATGTACCAGCACAACATAAAGAGGATTCAATATAAAACCATGAATTTCAGTTTCACACTGTTTACTTTTTTCCTGAAGCCTTTGTTGGTTCTTTCTCCACATCATGCCCCCTCACTGAGGTTGTTGCCTAAGATTAACACCTGGGTTCTCTGCTCCCTCTACGCTTTCTTAATAAGCTCATCTGCTTCTGTCTAAAATCTCTATGCACGTGACTCCCAGGTCTACATGTTCAGTCGCAGTTTTTCCCCTGAGCTTTAGTCCTGCTTCACTAACTACCTACTGGACATTTCAAACCAGATGTCCTGGAGACATGTTAAATTCATTGTGTCCAAAACTGAGTTTATTATTTTTTCCCCTAAACCCTCATTTCTCTAAAACTTCTTTATTTCTGTTTAAGGCACCACCATCCTTCTCATCTCCCAGGTTTGTAACTTTTGCATTATCTTCCATTCTTCACTTTTCCTCAATCCACATATCCAATCATTTGTCAAATCTTGACATTTTTACCTTTACAACATCTCTTGCATCTGACTTCTCTCACACAGTATAGTTCAGGCCCTTACCACCACTCACTTAGACTGTTACAACTGTCTCCAAACTGATCTCTCTGCCTCAAGCCTCACTCTATGGAGATGTCATCCATCCTACACGGCAGTACCTCAGGTACTGTTAGAGTACGGTCATGTCCTTAGTGGCTCAGTGGATACAGTGCCAGCTCTGGAGTCAGGAAGAGCTGAGCTCAAATCCCACCTCAGACACCAGCTGTACGACCTTGGGCAAGTCACTTAACCCTGTCAGCCTCAGTTTCCTTACCTGTAAAATGTGATGGAAATGGTGAACCACTCCAGTATCTTTGCCAAGAAAATCCCCAATGGGTTCACTCGGACATGACTAAAACAACTGAACAACTGCTTGATTGATTATATCCAGGTTAATACCATTACTCTCAACTTCTTTTTACTTCAATCAGTACATAATCCAGCTAACAAAACTATCTCGGTCACCTGCCAATTTGATTACCTCTTTTATTTTCCAATGGTACCCTGCAATTCAATTTAATGTAATGCTGCATTAAACCACATTCTTCTTATAGGATAGCTGTAATCTTACCTTTCCTAAGGCACTACCAACTTCTCAAGAGCTGAACTCTCTCCTCTTTAAGGTCTTCTCTGACATGAAGATACATAAACTACTGCTACCATTATCACTTCCTACTGAATCATGTCTATCAAACCCATAAAATAAGGAATGTTAGTCAGTTCCAAAATGTGCCTGCAACATTATAAGACAGCAAGGAAGATCCTTTGAATTGAAAGTTGCTTAGATACAGAGCCTCCAAAATATCTTGTTCCTATATGATCAGAATCACTCAGCAAGAGCCTAGTTACACTGAAGCTGTGGGAAGAGAGGTCACTATTTGTCATATGGAAGAGAATGAACTGAATTTTTTAAAAGGCAAGCGTCAAAAAATGATTTTTCAGGTTTTTAAAAAGTAGAAGAACAAAGGATAAAAAAGTGACCAGCAGCAGCAAATACAGACAGTCTATGCAGTAAGAATGAACTTTAGGGAACACACCTAGGAATTTCAATCTTACTACCTTATCTTCACACATTTGGGAGAGAACAATTAGTGTCCTACTTTGGCACTTGGGGGGATGATATCAGAGCTACAAGAAGACAGATAAGTACCACCAAGCAGAAATTTGATGTTAGGTTAGAAGAAGGAAGAAAAATAGGAAAAAGGGTTGTTTCATGTCAGAATTCTTATATTTTTGATGAAATATGTGATGAAAAGCAAAGGCCTAAAGTCTAAGCAGTTTATTGTGGCAAAAATTGGTAATGTAACTATATAGAACAGATGTAGAGAGAACATTTTTTAAAAATCAAACTAAGTCAAATAAAATGAAACATTCTAATGGGGACAGTGGGGAAAATCCATTTATACCAACAGAACTCTTCTGCTAATAACTTAGAAAGATGCAAATGTTTGCAAAATGGAATTTCTTCATACCATGTTTAGAAGTACTACCAAACCTAAAATATCAGTTTTCTCTATATTAACTTGCCAACTTTATACTTTTAGTAAAGGACAAATCAATGCCTACTGCAAAGCAATAAACAGAATTTCTAGGGCAAGGGAACAACAACAAAAAGAAGTCTTTCAAATTGCCAGCAAACAAAGCAAGGAAAATTTAACCCTGTAATTTAAATTTAATCTTAACACACACAATCAAAGCTTTCAAAAATGCCTGTTTAAAGTATAAGCTGGTGTTTTTATACAAACATTTTAAAAGAAACCCTCCAAAGCCACACTTATGCAGCGTCATACATGATTCTACAGAGTGTTCACTAATACAAAGGATTTCAAGATTTTAAAACATCAATTTCCTGTAAGAATGAACATAGAACTTAGTAAATTCTGTTGCTGTAATCAGGCTATATAAAGTGAAAATTCTGCCACACACAGAGACTTAGAAGATTAATGTCTGACTCTGCATATATACATTTGGCAAGAGCTACTAGAGCTAAGAATTTGATTTTTAAGACCTGTAAACAAGTGTTGTCACATCCAAAATAAGTAGCATTGGAAAAGAAGAACCTCTCCATTATATTTGGGTTTGATACTCTGAATTGAAAGCACATACTATCTAATTCCATAAGTTGTTTCCATTCAATAAATACTAGCCCCAACACGGGGAGGTGCTACAGTAAAACAGTCTCTGCCCTCAAGTTATTCACATAGGAGAATAAAAGCTATACACACTTGAGTTTTTTTTCTTTTTGTGAGGCAATGGGGGTGGGGGGTTTAAATGACTTGCCCAGGGTCACAAAGCTAGTATCACCTAGCTGTCCCTTACTTATACTTACATAAAAAACTGTCATACTGAAAAGTACAAATTGCCACAGGAAGGTTTAGGAGAGACTACATTCAGTTTAGGAGTAAGAGAGAGACAGGTACATCAAGAGGGCTCAAGAAAGACCTTACAGGATGCTTGTGTGATTGGATAGGAAATCTAAGTTTTCCACAGGTAGCAACTGTGGGGAAAAACACTCTAAATGGAAGGAGTAATCTAGCAAGGATGAGAGCATAGGTAAGAAAGTGGATATACTTGGGAAATAGGAAATAGCCCAGTCTTGCAAGAGTATGATGTATATGAAAAGGAAGGGGAAGACAAGGATGGAAAGGTAGGTTGAGGACACATTGTGAGATACATATATATATCTCTATATATCTATATCTATCTATCTATCTGTGAAGGAGATTCACTTCATGTTTTAAATGGGGGAGTAACAAGATTGGAACTGTGCTTTAAGATTAATTTGGCAGTAGTATATAGCATAGTTTGGAAGAAACATCAGAGGTCAATTACAAGCTTGTTACAGTAGTCTGTACCAGTGGCAATGAAAGGACAACTGAAATGAAAAAGGGTTGGTGTAAAAGACTATGTAGGGGAAGCTAGGTGGAGCAGTGGATAGAGCACTGGCCCTGGAGTCAGGAGGACCTCAGTTCAAATCAGACACTTGCCTAGAAAAAAAACAAAACAAAAACTAAAGACTTTATGTAAGCAGAGAATGATCTTATGAACTGAGTGGATATGGGGAAAGAATGGTTACTGAAATCAAAACTAAAAACACAAACAAGAATCCAGCCATAGCAAAATATCACTAGCCTCTATGATAAAATACTGGCCAGGCTGAATTAATGTTGATCAAGTGGCAACCATCAGTGAGGCAGAAGTAAGAATCAATGCTGACTCTAAGCCCATCTTAAGCTCAGATGAAAGGGAGCCTTGAATGATGTCACTGACATAATTATAGGATCTTAGCTTAAAAGGAATTTCGAGGTCATCCAGTCCAAACCCCTTACTTTACAGATGATGACCTGAGGCCCAGAGAAATAAAGTGACTTGTTAAAGGTCACAGAGGCAGAGAAAACTCTAACTTTGAATCCAGATCCTGATTCCAAACTCAGTACTTTCCCCTCTGCTATGTCATTTCCCAACTAGGAAACTGAAGAGAAAGTTTTGCCTGGGAAACATGATGAATATAGTTTTGGGCATGTTAGGTTAGGAATGCTAGCAGAGGATCCAGATGCAAATGTTGGCCAAAAGGTAGACCTAGGGGGTCTGTACTGTGGGAGAAAAGGCAAGGATTGGATCTAGTCTGGGGAGTCACCTGTAGACAAGTGGACAAGCTATGAGACACAGCAAGAAAAGGGAACAGGGTAGTCAGAGACAAAGGTCTGACTTTTCCCCAAGAAGCTGGAAAAGGAAGAAAACCACACGAGTTCGAGGGTCTTAGAAGCCAAGGAGAGAATTTTAGGAAAAGTATAGCAATAAGAAACTGCAAAGAAGCCAAAGACTTTGAAGTCAGAGGAACGGCCATTGATTTGGCACTTAAAAAGGCAATGATGACCTTAGAAATGGCAGTTTCAAAAGTTTGAGGCACTGGGGGGTGGAAATGAGATTGCTAAGTTTCTAATTCTCCTGTTAGAGATTTTAAAAGATAATTATTTTCACCTAATTCATATGGATTTTAACATTTAAAATATGATGTCAATTTTTAAAAATTCCTGTGACAACAGCCAACTCTACTTAATGCCTCTCCAAAAAGCCAGCAGAACTGATTTCAAGGCAGGTTCTACGGAAAAGGTTATAGCAGAAATGCCAACCAGTTACGCCTAGCTGAGGCACGATTTATTTCACTGATGACTGATATTTTGCTGACTCACAGTTTCAAGATTAATAACCTCAATATTTATTCAGCATTTCACAAACACAGGTTAATCCACAAAATGTCTTTACAAAGTGGTCTGATCTTCATTTTCAAAATGAGAAAATGGAGGTGCAGAGTGCTGATCTGCCTCTGGCCTTAAAGGAAATAGAGGGAAGGGCCAATATCATTAAGGTACTGTAGATTTCCTACTCCTACTCTGAACGCCTTGGCTGTCCGGTAGAGCAACCCCACTGATTCCAAGACAGCTTTATAGTATTACTAAAGGAAATTTCTCAAGTACAGACTCATCTACACCTACTGATTCCATCACCCACATTCCTCAGCCCCACACCCATCACCTGTCTAATCACCTCAGTAAACAGTCAACAAGAGAAAAACAAACCAAAAAACCCCCCAAGTAACTAGACCTGATCCCATTTATCCACTGACTTGAGTATAGGAAATAGTTGGTGTATGTACACATACAAATGTAAAAATAATACTGTTGATGAACCACACTTAGTCCATGGCTTCTATATAAATACTACTACAGTAGTATTTATGTATAGCACATACAGCATTTATATTATACAGTGTGTATGCTATGTATAGCATACACAGTATTTATATACATACTGTTATGTACGTATGCTATATATACTACATATATAACATACTACATACATAATACAAATGCTATACATAAGTACTACTATAGCACTATTTATGTAGAAGCCATGGACTAAATATGCCTTATTAGTGGACTATCATATACACTATACAGCATATACTATACATTAATACTACTGAATACATATACATACACCCCCCCCCTCCAGTAGCATATCTGGAGAAAGAGGGAAAATGTTTCAGTGTTCGACTTCCATGATGCATTAAAAAAAAAAAGCCTACTACTACATGGCAATTCTCTTAAATAGGTAGCACACAGACATTTCCTAGGCAAAACAGGGCAGTGGGATGCCAGGCTTGTTTCTGAGTTAGCAACGGGCCCAGGACCACCGACAATGAGGGGTTTATTTCTTCCTTTTGCCAAGCACAGTGCATCCCTTACTGCTTTCGATGCAGGCACCCTTCCCCTCTCAACCAGTCACCACCGCCCGCTGCTGCTGCTGCTGCTGCTGCAGCCAAGCCTGCTCTCTCCCCCAGCGCCCCCTCCTCCGGACCCTCTCTGGTGTCTCTGCCATCCTACCCATCCCTGCCGCAGTTTCCCCATCTGCCAAGCCCAGAGAACAGGCCGGGCTGCTCCCCCGTCTCCTCGCCGCGGAAAGGAAGCTGTCAGGGGCCGTAGAGGTCCCTCAGGGCTCCGTACCCGGTTCTCCAACTCGGCGGGGAACTTGGTCTGGAACTGGCACCGGGTGCCGCTGCTGTAGTCCCGCTGGATGAAGACCTTGCCGGACACGGGCGCCTGCTGCGGCCTCATGGCGGGCGGGGCCGGGCCGGGCCGCGCTGCGCTGCGGGGGGACACGACAACACGGTTCTCCTCAGGCCCCCGGCGCCGGCCGCGCCCGGAGAGGCCGGGCCGGCAGCCGTCCCTGACAGCGGCCCCGGAGCCCTCGCCCGCCCCATGCTGCCTGGGCCGGTCCCCCCGCCGCCGTCCCGCATTCTACCCCCCCCCCGGCCCGCGCCCCGATCACCCCCAGCCCGGCCCTGCCCGGTCTTGCCACCCCACCTCCCCGGCCTGGGAAAACACCGACCCGCCTCCTCCGTGGCCCTCCGGCGGCTGTCGCACGCCCTCGTCCCTCACTTACGGCCTGCTGCAAATAAGTCTCCTCTCTCACGTCTCCTACCCCACCCACTCCGGGCGGCCGTAAAGTGAAACGGCCGCGATAGTGCGCAAAGTGGCTGGGCGGTGCTTTCCGCGAATGGCCCCGCCCCGGGCTCGGGCTCGGGCCGGGGGAGAGTTGCAGAGGGATGGGGAGAGGGAGGAGGAATGGGGAGGAGCTGAACCCTCGGCCACAGGCACTTGGTGTCTGGTCACTGGCGGTGGTCGGGAAGGCTGACACTTCCTGTTCTGAGCGTCGGCCCTAATGGCAGGAAGGCTGGCTTTGGAGAGCGAAGCTCCGAGTTCGGGTTCTGCCTTATTTAGTCGCCGTGTAAATTCATTAGATTGGAAGCTCCTTGAGGGAAGGGACGATTTTTCTCCTCCATTTGTATCCCCAACGCTTAGCATTGAGCCTGGCACATAGTAGGCACCTAATAAATGCTTGTCGAATTGAAAATGTAACTACGGGGGCAGCTAGGTGGGGCAGTGGATAGAGCACCAACCCTGGAGTCAGGAGGACCTGAGTTCAAATTCGGCCTCATGTACATGATATTCACTAACTGTGTGACCCGAGGCAAGTCACTTAACCCCAATTGCCTTACAAAAAAAAAAAAAGAAAATTTTGCAACTCCGGAGCTTGGTTTACTTATCAATAAAACATGAGGATTTTACCCGATGATTTCTTTATGTGTGTATTTTTTAAAGTTAATATTTCATTTTCAAGCAAAGACATCTTGCTCTCCTTCCATTCCTCTTATTCTATGCCTCCCAACCCTGCAGTGAGAAAGCAAGAAAAACAAAACTCACTTACAAGGATGTAGTCATGTTCAAAACAATTTCCAGCACCTTCCTGAGTATGTCTCAGCCTTCACTCTGAGTCCCTCACTTCTCCATCGGGATAACCTGTCAGTCAATAAGAATTTACTAAGTGTTTTACAGCAATCACAATCCTGGAAACAACCCTTCCGGGTAGTCTAATGGGGGAGGCAACATTAAGGCAGCTATGGACAAGCAAGCTACATACATGATGAGTTGGAGGCAATGGAGGGAAGGTACTTGCAGGAGGCAGAGCTCTGTATGAGGAGTGAGAACATTCCAGGCGTGGAATTCTAAAGTCCTGTCTAGCTCTTGGGTCTGGACCTTAGTGGCTGAAGGCTCTTGGCACTCTGAAGAACTGTCTTTTAAAAAATAAATCTTAATGAAACACAAATTCAGGGATTTCATTTATTTGTTTTGAATGGATTGCACTTATTCATGGGTTAGTGGTATAGACATCCCCACCCCCACCCTCCAGCATCAATGAAACATTTTGGGGGGGGACAGAAAAGAAAAACAGGACAGGCAGGGAAAGGGACACAAAATGAATAGCGCAATTAGGTGACGACCTTGCCAAGTTTAATATGTTCCTTAAAAAGCAAACTATTCAACAGAAGTTCAGTTTCTTATGTAATCTTGCTCTTTGTACATTAAACACTTGAATTTGTTGATGATTGTTAAATTGATAATAGAATATAGACTGGACCTGCTTTTTCATTGGTATGGGGAACTCCCAGATGATGAAACTTCCTCTTCCAGTTCAGGTCAACACCTTTTCTGCAATTTATATACGTAGAATATTGCCTAGACCAAGAGGGAAAACCCTAGGGTGGGCTGGCTTTATTGGGCCCAGGACCCTTCTGAGTACTGTTGAGCCAGATTAAAATGTAATTGGGAAATATCTACCAAAATAAATTGAAATACAATAAAACATAAATAATATGTGGTTTTCTAAGTCAATATGCAGCATGGAGGGCTTCTGGTGTATGGGTTAGTGGCCCCATTTCTATAAGAGTTTGACACCATAAGCCTAGGGCTCTGAGAGATTGCGACCTGTTCAAGGTCACACAGCCAGTATATATCATAAGTACTTGAACCCAGGTCTTCCTGACTCCAGGGATGGCTTTGTATCTATTGTATCACACTAGCTCTTGAAATTCATAATAAAAAAAAGAAAATCACAAATAATCAGAGCATTTGGCCCTAAACAAAACTTACTATGAAAATTTAGAAATAGCACTTGGGAGCATTCTGATCCGACCTTGAATAGCACTTTTTTCTGCACCTCTATGATATCCTTAGTATTTAACAAAACACCTACACCTACACAAACAAGACATAATGGATAGAATGATGAATTTGGAGTCAGGAAGACCTGGATTCAAATCCCATCTGAGATAATAACTGTGAGCTCTCAGGCAAATCATTTAACTTCTCTGAACCTCAGTTTCTCATGTATAAAATGTTGGGGTTGGACTAGATGGTTTTTTTTAAATTTTATTAATTTATTTTGATTTATCAACAATCACTTCCACAAGCTTTTGAGTTTTAATTGTTTTTGTTTGAGGTCCTTTTCAGGTCTAAATATAAATCTGATTCTATCCTTGTATGCATATTTACTCTATGGCTCCTTTTGCTCCAAATCCTGAGTTTCCCTGAGAACATCAGAATTTGGCTCTTGTTAATAATAATAATAGCTAGCATTTGTATAGTGCTTCTTATGTGCCAGGAGCTATATTGAGTACTTTACAATTATCTCATTTGATCCTCAGAACAACCTTGGGAGATAGGTACTATTATTATCTTCATCTTCAGAAGACAGAGGGAGAACAAGATTAGATGACTTGCCCAGGGTCGCACAGATAGTACATGACAAATGTTTGGTCTGAGGTCAGATTTGAACTCAGATCCTGGTGCTCTATCCACTGTACCACCTAGCTGCCCCTATCCCATCTCTCAACTGCTGTCCTACTTTCCCTTTACAACCAAGGATCAACTACCCATCGAAAATGAGCATGATCTTTTAGGGGAGGAGATGGATATTCAACAAAATAGGGGACATCCATACCTTCCTGATAAAAAGACCAGAGCTCAACAGAAAATTTGATCTTCAAATACAAGAATCAAAAGAGACATTGGGACAGAAAGTAACAACATGTTATGAATAAGGGCAAACTCTTTACATCCCTACAAGGGAAGATGACACTTGTAACTCTTGAGAACTGTATTGTTATTACACCATGTAAAAGTGGTATACATAAAGGGGGTGGGTATAAATTGACTTTGATGTAATAATGAAAAAAATCTAATCAAGTGGGTTAAATGGATCCAAGTAAGTGAATTAATCTGATCTAACTAAGAAAATGTACTGAGAGAAAAGGAAAGGAGGAGTCAGACAAGGGTAAATTACATCACAGGAAAAAGCACAAAAACCTATTACAACAGAGGGAAAGAAGGGAGGGAGATGAGCATTGTTTGAACTTACTCTCATCAGATTTGACTCAAGAAGGGAAAAACATAATCAATTAGGTATAGAAATCTAACATGCCCTGTAGGCAATAGGAGGGAAAAGGGGAAAGAAAAGGGAGGGGGCTAATAGAAGGGAGGCGGGACTGAGGGAGGTGGTGGTCAAAAGCAAAACATTAGTGAGGAGGGAAAAGGAGAAATGAGAAAGAAAATCATAAATGAGGGGGTGGCACAGAAGGATGAAGAGAAAGACACAGATAGTTATCATAATTGTGAATGTGATATATGAATGTAATGGGATACTATTATACTATAAGAAATGATGAACAGGCAGACTTCAGATAAATCTGGAAAGACTTGTATGGTTTGATGCTGAGTGAAGTGAGCAGAACCAGGAGAATGTTGTACACAGCAACAGCCACATTGAGTGATGACTGACTTTGATAGGCTTAACCCCTCTCAGCAATACAAGGATCTAAGACATCTCCAAAAGCCTCATGATGGAAAATGCTATCCACGTCCAAAGAAAGAAGTATGGAGTTTGAATGCAGATCAAAGCATACTATTTGCTGTTTTTTTTCTTCTGTTGTGTTTTGTTTCCTCTTTCTGGTGGTTCCTCCTATTATTTCTAATTCTTACTTACAACATCACTAATGTTAAAATATGTTTAATAAGAATGTATATGTATAGCCTACATTAGATTGCTTGCCGTCTTGGGGAGGGAGGTAGGGAGAGAGAAAAGTTTAAAACTGAAAAGCTTATGGAAGTGATTGTTGATAAATCAAAATAAATTTAAAAAAAAAGAGTGTCTTAGCTGGGTGGGTAAATACACTACTAGACTGTATTGCTCTGCTAACTTGGCTGAAAAACTGTCTCATCATTGTCATCTGCTGCTAGGGGCGACCAGGAAGGTCATTTAGCGGCTGCCAGACTGGGTTAAGCAGGTTGCTTGGACACTGATCAGGGACTACCCAGGTCGGTAGCTAGGTAGCTGCTGGTAGCTGGGTAGATGATTCACCCATCAGACTTCTCAGATAGGTTGATCTGCTGGATTTCCTAGACTGGCTCTTCAATGGGAAGCTGCAGTTCTTCCCCTTTAGCCACTGGCTCAGCTCAGGCTACTGCATTTTCTTCTGTGGGAGTGTTGCTTTCTTTTCAGCTGGAATCCTACTGTGCTCTTTCAACTAGGGCAAAGACTTTTCTTTTAGGATTGCCAGAAGCCTCTCCCTTTTGCCTCAGTCTTGGCCTCTACTTCTTGCCCTGATAGGGCAGCTAGTTGGCCCAGTGAATTGAGTGCTGGTCCTGGAGTCAGGAAGACTCATTTTCACGAGTTCAAATCCAGCTTCAGATAGCCACTAGCTGTGTGACCCTAGGCGAGTGACTTAACCTTGTTTGCCTCAGTTTCCTCATCTGTAAAATGAGAAGGAAATGGCAAATCATTCCACTATCTTTGCCAAGGAAAACCCCAAATGGGGTCAGGAAGGGTCAGACATGACTAAACAGCCACAGGCCTCTATCTCAGCTTGGTTAGCTCCAGGCTGGTGCTTCTCCAGTTCAACAATTTTCCTGATTCAGAGGTGGTTTACCTCAGTGAAGGACTCCACCTTTACTTACCATGACCACCCAAGTTACACTTCCTAAAATTGGATTGAATCTTATGCAGAAAGGCAGTCTGTGCCCTCAGGGCAAGTTTCTGCTGGCTTTTCCTTTTTTGTTAGAGCTTCAGACCCTT